GTTAGAGGTTACAGCCAAGTGCTATTTATGCCACAAGTTTCCGTGGCCTATAGCGCTCGTCAGCTGTAAAATATGTACAATACAATCCGGCCCGACCGTCATCATTCAGCCAGCGGAGCGCGTCAGCATCAGACAGATAACGGCACCATGAAAAAACGAACTCTGCACTGAAACGGCTCTGGAAAAAAAAACTCTGCACACCTTTTCGTGTCGCTAATTTCCAGTGTGGATGCGCCTCAGTTGCATGCAAATGTGTCATAGGCGATGGGCACAACATTCGCGCAAATTTATCCCCGCTAGTCAGACAATTTAGTACTTAAGCATTGAGCCTGTGACCTGGTACGAGCTCTGCCGATTTTTTCATCTACCGCAAGGCGAAGGATGTGAATACCGCACCGCCGTCGTGCACAAAACGTGCCGGAGCAAAAATTTGAGAATGGAACACGTGATCTGCATTTTCCTTTGCGTTTTTTCAGCCTGTAAAAGTGCGAAATCCGAAGCAGATCAAGCGTGGCGCACATCTGATTTTTATAAGCGTCTTCCTATTCAACGCTTGCTGCAGAGTGAGCCGCAGGTGGGCACCTTCTCTGATAATCTTTCTGCACTGCCAAAAATGCCCCGAATACCTTCAACTGGCCGCCAATACAATTTCGGCCCATTCCAAGAAATGCTTTGTCCCGGCTACCTTAGGAGCTTAAGGGTAACTCCATCTGATAAGTGTGAGGTGATCTGCTTAACACATTCTTAGCGTATGTCAGACAGGTCATGCTATTGTTAGTGTAACACACGTGGAGTCTTGTATGAAGATCGGCATGCCTGCATGAAGTCATACGTGATTTACATTTTCGATTGTTTTGACGTAAGTTATAAAGTGGCTCGCCAATTTGCCAGTCGTAATCAATCACACTGAAAAGAGTCACACCCAGTTACCAGCAGAGATAATATGAAGCGAACTGGTGTGTCAAACCAAACGATGAATATGTAATCTACGCATGTCATACGGAAACCACTAGACCTAACACATTCCCAAGCTGATTGCATCTATATGCATATTAACTGAAAGAGCAGGGGAATCATACACAATGAGGTGATTCAATGTCGAGCTGAAAAGACTTTGAACCTACCCTCAGCTGTTGTTACCTTGATCCAAACCAATCTTTACCCTTAACCTTTTTCAACACCATGGTATTCCTAAAGGGAGTGTTCCACATGCGTCTGGGGATTTGAACCGAAATAGCTATCCTGAAGATCATTTGGTGCAGCCCACAACCCTGCCTTTTTAAACGTTTAGCCCATCTAGTTTCTGAACTACACGGCTGCGAGAGAGGTGTAGACTATTTCGAGGAAACTATTTCAAGGTCCATAGGCATCCATGACGCCATAGTGACGTCATTCAAATCCTGCCATCACGTTGGTCATGTGGCGATCAGGGTCAAGAAAAATATGATGACTGAGTGGCTCGCATCTGGCGTTGTTGAGCACGACTTCTAGACACAGTGGTCGTTAATTGGCTCTCAACCAATGCTGTGCAAGGCACCAGGACGCAGTGACATAATGACGCATTGAGGGACGTGTCTACTAAACAGAGAAATGTGTCGTCTAAAGCAGCCTTTTCTACTCAAAAGTAAACCAATAGTTCTAAGTGAACTTATTTCATCGTACATGATGCTTGCTTGAATATCTTTAAATGTGGACCATTCTCTTTAGGCGTTAAAACCCATTTTCCATCTTTGCACCGGTTCCAAAGCTGCACGAACGTTATTCTGAAGCTGGTAGGCACCAAATCAAATTTAGACCAAACGATTTTGTGAATTTGTACAAGGGCTTACCTAATATGTAACATCATTCACACAACAGATGTTAACCAAATGATTCTGGCGAATGATTCTGAAACATCTGGCGTTGGTGAGTACCACTTCTAGACACAGCGACCCTTGATTGGCTCTCAACCAATGTTGTGTTAGGCACCAGGACGCAATGAAATAATGGCGTATTGAGGGATGTGCCTACTAAACATAGAAATTGTGTCGTCTAAAACAGCCTTTTCTACCCAAAAGTAAACCAATAGTTTTAAGTGAACTGATTTCATCGTACATGATGTTTGCTTGAATATTTTCAAATGTTAACCATTCTCTTTAAGCGTGAAAACGCATTTTCCCCTTTGCACTGGTTACAAAGCTGCACGAACATTATTCTGAAGCTGGTCGATACCAAATAAAATTTAGACCAAATACTTTTGTGAATTTGTACAAGGGCTTACCTAATCTGTGACATCATTCACGCGACAGATGTTAACCCAATGATCCCCGGGTAATAGGGGCCGGAGCTCTTGATCATACTTTGATTTCTCCGATCAAACGTTTACATCCTGAGATACCAAGGAAGCTCCCCGAGCCATCACCAGTGACGAAACATCCGTGGCGGTGCCGGGTTAAGAGCAAACTCGTCGAAACCTCCGAAGCAGTTCCGCCGTTTGATTCTTCAATGATAGCACGCCGTATCTGCTGGCATTTGACGCCAGCTGACAAGTTCGGCCGCGACTTAACAGCTGACATTTAGCGATTCGTTAAAGAACCCATGGTACTGGTAAGTCTAAACTTTTTTTTTGATGCCGATGTGGATACACGACACAATGACTAAAACCGTAAGGGATTGGGCCACACAAGGTGCACACATGCACAAGCGTATAGCCTGTTCACTGGTACCAATAATCAGGCGAAGTATTTATGCGTTTCGCAACACTGCAGTTGACATTTAAAAGACTGAAATCATGACGTATGTCTCGATTTTATCGATTAAAAATGTCACGTTAGTTGTTAAGCGCATTTGCGAGGAACATTATTCACATATATAATGAAGTAGTAATAGCCTTATTCCTCGGAGAAAAAGAACAGGGGAACACAGTTATAGATGCTTTGATATTTCGATAAAGGAAGAAAATAATTCTCTCCTGCTATTTGTCTCGATAAAAGTATGTTGCCGAAATTTTAACGCACCTGTATTTCCATTTCTACCATTTTTTTCTCCGAAGAATAAGGCTAGTACTATTATCTTATTTGTGAAATAAAAAATGTCAGACGAGATGAATCTCATGGGGCTATGAGTGGCTCAAGATGGCTCCATGCTGTTTTCAACATGTGTTGTTCATGAGCTTGCGCACAGACGCCAACCATTAGCACGTCTTTCCGTGTGAAAATAATGAAGGGGACATTGCCATGCATTACGAGCCATTTTCCATCGGTTTCCAACTGGGGACCGGTCATTATATTACATCTTGGTGTTAGCTACATGGTGATGCCAACCACGTATGTGACTAATTTGCTCCTCCCTCGACGAAAGAGGCGTCCTACAGGTATGAAAGAAAACGAACAAAAAAACTGTACACTTCGATTCCAAAAGACAGGAACCGTACATGATCGCTCCGCGCGATAATGGGATGTGCTCTCTGTTGTAAGGCATAGGGGACTTGTAAAACATTACACAGACGGTGCATGCAAAATATTGTACATATCAAAGGTTTTATACAACACCTGATCTGACGTTAAGTCACCTGCACTGAGTACTAATTGTCTCGACGTCAGTGAATGATTCGTAGTGTTCTCTGCACCAGTGATAACGCTGAAGTTGACCTCCGCACCAGCGGCTTGCCCCGTTAGTCTATCAAATGATGACCATCATGCCTCTCAAATTGATCCTGGAGAATACGTTAAAGCGTTACAGTTACGTTAATACATTAACAGGTGCCCGGTTGGGGGTCAATTTGACCTCCGACGCATTTTACATAATTCCGAACGACGTGGCGCAGCAGTGCCAAGCTTGGCATAGCTGTAGGCAGTAGAATAGCAGATCTCTTGGCATAAACAAAATATGTACTTTATAAGGCCCCTGACCCATGACAGATCAAAGCCAAGCCGTGGCTGGCAGCAAAGACAAGTTCTAGGCAATCGCGCAATCCGATGCGACAATGGATTATCAGACAGTCTTACATATGTGAGATAGTTTATTGGGCGATTCACAATTGAATTTCGGACTTCAACTAATCTCATTGACATAGGATCAGGCATAAAGGTCATACCGAAGTTAAAACCAACTCGCTTTTTCTCGACATCTTGCTTCATAGGGTAGTTTCTGGAGCTCATCTTGAATTTAGTGGCAATAGGGACTGCAGCAGACATCTTCCATGGACTTTGTGAAGATCAAAGTACGTCACTGACCTGAAATGGCCCTGGTCAACATTTGTTTAGAAACATTCCGCCCGGCGTAATCCTTGACGCCCATTCAAATGGAAAAATCAAAGCAATCTCGTAAGATTTTAGTCACCATGGCCTGCTTAAGGGTCAGACATGGCCACTGACCTTAAATGAACATCGATATCATTTTGACTAGGACAGGTATTTCGGTTCAATATGGTTGAATGAGGAGGTATGAGGGCACTTTGGACACTAATCTGGAGTTTTACCTTGTTTGATGTTATTTGACCCAGAGCTTATCATCTAGGAGCCTCAAATTTTGGCCCAAGTGAGTTCACATACAAGCTAGCTAACCCTGTGAATTTAGTGTTTCTAGCTCCCTTAGTTATTTAGATCTCACGGGTGTCAAATTGGCCACCATCTGAGCAAAAGGTATCCAGCTGGCCAGTCGGGCGTGCATTAGCACGTTACGACCCACAACAGGCTATTTGCATACTGCAGCAATATACACACTTGAGATCCCAATCTCGTTCCTCATATCGCTAAAGACATCACGATCACCACGTGCTCTAGAAACTACGCCGATACCTCTACAGCCGAGAAGACTGCTGCAGTCCTCCATCAGCGGTGACGTGATGACCGCTGGAGCGACAGCTGGGGTCAGCCGGGGGTCAGCGGTGCGACCCCGGCGACTGCTGACCTCCAGCCGTCGGCAGCGGGTGGGAGCCGCCGCCGGCCGCCGGCCGCCGGACGCGGATGAATGGTTTCACTTTTGGCGGCGGCGGCGCGGGCGCTGCCAGTGCCTCTCCATCAGCCGGCCGGCTCGCACGCTCCGCAGTCTCAGCTCTCTGTGACGCCCGCCCGACGCACCGCTCGGAGCCGGGGACACCGGCATGCGCAGCTAGACCCCCGCCGCGGACAACCGGCCACCCCGCTCACTGCTAAGGTACGGCGGTGATGGCGGGTGAACTGCGCGCGCTGCGCTGTCCGTGTATGGGTCGCGAGGGGACTTTTGTTGGTTGCCGCATGCCTGCAGCGTTCGTGTTAAGTTAAGCCCAGATGGGTGGGAAGATCCATGGCCTTCGTCGCATTCGGGGTAGTTCATTATGCAACGCGACTAAACGACTGTCGGCGTCGGGTGACAGTTAACGGAGCTGGGCGAGCGGCAGATGACGAGCTCCGTTACCTGGCCCCGAGAAACGACCCAGGCTGTGCACTGACCGGGCTGTCGCCTGCGCCGCGCCCGCTCGGGGCTCATGCACTGATGCATGACGGTCTGGTCATCGCTCAGGCCAGCTCTCAGAGCTTGAGGTGCTGCTCATGCTCTGAAGCACTGAGCCAATGGCAGCAATAATTGATAATGCAGACGCTTTTGCCTGCAAAGTGCTTGAGTATATGCGGCTTGTGGGCCAAAATGTCATGATGTTTTGTGAAGTGTGATATCTTTGGAGGGTCATTTCAAGTTGCTTTACCTCTTTCATGGGCTTCAAGTTAGTGTAATGCTTGCTAAAACTTCCTGTTTGTGACAGTTTCAGCTTGTTGGGGTTCAACATTGGAAGGACAAGTTTCTGGAACTTTCGTTCCATTTTAGCTAAACACCTATGTACATTTCGTGACGATCTTGTATATTTTTTACATGGGTATAATTATCGTTCGGCATAGACAAGCTTCATGACTTAAACTACGCAGCAAACTGCATTTTGATACGTATTATTTCTACATCTTGTCCATTATTTTATATGTAAATTGTTCCATGCTCGTTATATTAGGCCGTGTCCACCTAGGTACAACGTGACGTTTGTTATACTGCTCAGGGCAATTGGCTTCTTACTACAGTATAAGAGTATAGTTCTTGTTATGCCAGATGAAATGGCCAGCCTGAAGTCCGATGGAACACTGTTGGAAACTGCCTTTATTTGCACTCGAAATGAGATCAGTCATGAAGTGCACTGGAGCAACTGCGATATATATATATATATATATATATATATATATATATATATATACGTGTATATATATATGTGTGTGCATATATATGTATATATACGTGTATATATATATATATATATATATATATATATATATCGGCTCACTCACTAAGAAGTGCTTCATATCAATATATGCCGGTGAACTTATGCTTATTATATTATCTGGCGACGCGTTTCATAAAACAATGGCTGCATCATCGGGCAAAAGAACACGCTGTTCAGTGTAGACCAGGTTTAAAACACGCACATGGTTTAAATAGCACACAAGTACATGCGTTGGCACATCAACTCTCCCAGTTACAGACATAATTCATGCTATCACATATTTTATGAATATGATGAAGTCATGTCATTTAGTGCTGGACGTTTCTTAAAAGTGCCTTAAGACCCTGAGATTCTCAAATCAAGCGAGGAATATGTCGTGCCCAAGATGCCAAAATTGGAATAAAAAACTGGGATGTCACGTGTAAATGAATGTTTTCTTAGGAGGAAGGGTTAGTTTTTGCAAGATTTTCCCGTCCGCATAGATTTATCCAAATGCTGTTGAATGTGGCCGCGCAAGGTGCGAAGTGTGGGGCTATGTAGGATGCCTCACACCAGGCACAACGAAGCTCGCATGCAATAATCGATTGGCAGCATTGAGGAAATTCTTGTTATGTTTGAAATAGCAACCTATTTAGTCCGAGTCCGATATCAGAATACTCCTATGACCTAAAAATTGATTGAGTTTCGATAGAAGGCTGATAAAATTACGTTTGAGACGTTCAGAATCTGGGCTTAAGTGCAGCAGAACGAAATACTTTTTTGAGTTTCGGAGCATCAAAAGGTCCTGGATGAGAAAAGATGCCTAGCATCGAGGAAACTAGAAATGAATGAATAAATGATTCTCAAGGGAAACCCATTGTTCCGGAAATACCCTTTCAGACACTTGATTTCAGTATAAAATAATTGATAAGAAGAGCTGAGATGGCAAGCAGTAAGGACATAGCTATTAACGTGGATGCATATTGATATACAAAGATGTGAATGCAGCTTGACATTTTTCCCAGTAACCGTACAACCCATCGTAAAAAGACCAGTGTTTTGTTCTGCCCAGATTTCAAGGGAATAGCACAACCCCCATCAATTGCCTAGTTAGCTGTAAGAGCATGCAGCACTCACGTTATGCTCCTCCAAACCTTTAGCGTATATTGAAAGCCCATTTCAATGAACGTCGGCGCCAATATTTGTGCCTCGGACATGACATACATCAGGATGGTAGGGAGAAGCGGGGGCGGCAATAAGGCTCCGGGGCACAATGCAGTCTACATAACGATGCACGACACTTCTTATATCAGAGACTGCTGGGTCGCTAGCTGGCTTGTGCCAGTCATGACACCGACGTCGTCTACATAGGGAACAGAATGAGGGGTACGTATTCATACATTGTTGGCAACATTAGAGGCTGTTTAAAGTTTACACTGTCCTCTGTGAAGTTTAAGGTCACCAGTGTTGCTCTCCGCTGTTCATTACTAGTTTGCAAACAGAGCCCGGCCCAAGTGGTCCATGAGCTGCATACAGCCGCTGGCATTCACTGCATGCAGCATGCGGTGAGTGCTGGGCGCTAATCTGCATTCAGCCATGCACAAATTTGCCGGTAATTGAGACACTTAAGATCGTGCCTTATCACGCTATAAATTCCAGACATAAAGGTGGCGTATCAGCGGAATCCCATTGATGGTGCCCATCCCATAACACGGCATGGAAAACAGTGTTTTCCACTAATAATCTGCTTGTGAAGAATATTGGGTAGGTAGAACGGCTGCACGACTGAGCAATTTAATCTAGTACACCTATAGATAAACACTAGAAAAGAATAAAGGCGTGCAGGCTGCCAACGCCACTGTCTGAAGATGAACTATCCAATTCTAGGCCATTTGATCTTTAGAGACTACCGGACCTCAATCTGAAGTACAGCCGTGCCCTGGTGTGCGAACTGTCGACTTAATTCAACGTTCAGATGACCCACATTACATCTCGAAGACTAGGTTCAGCACAGGTGTACGGGGCCAGATAAGGATTACAATATGGGCGAAGTTATATGCAGGAATTGTTTTGCAAGAACTGCCTCGGTAGCCTTGTCGGATGCATTGTATTATGCAAATAAAAATACGATAATAGCTAAAAACAACGTTGATGCACCAGAACGTTCTTCAAATCAGCACACAGCATGACGTCATGCAGAAGCATCCGACTTGACCTGCTTCATAGCGATTGGATTTTCAATGAGATACGTTTGCATGACCGCCTGACCGTTCACAATCAGCGGCATCGCCTGAGCAGATATGAAACAAGGTCCGGTCTATTTTACTCACCTGCCGAACACAGCGCATACTCTGAAGTTAATAAACGCGCCCAATTTATTTCTTGCACCAAAAGCATGAGTGCAGCCGCAGGCGGTGGTACAGTGCCAGTGCAATTAACTTGTCCAGATGAAAGCCAAGTGCTGCAGCTCCTTCCACGATCTGCACGTTCAAGGCCTAGCTGTCCGGCCAGGTTGGCAATTATAGCAGACGTGACGAAGCACGAAGAAACGATAAACAACTCACCATGCACCGTTGTGTCTTACTGCTTGCGACGGGCACCACACCCCAAGAATGAGTACATTAATGGATACAACACTCTCATTGACGGACGAACATGAGGTGCTATTTCTTCTGTCACGTCTCGTGCCGTGGCCGCCGCCCGCGGCAGCCAAGGCACGAGACCGTGCACTCTGCCGGCCCGGTGCTGAGGCCGCCCCGGTGCCGCGCCGCTGGGCTTCGCGGTGCTGTAACATGTGGCAGCCTGTTGCCGCGACGGGCGTGGTGATGCGCGCTGGGTGTACGTGGGCCGGGCTTGTGGGGAAGGGGGTGTAAAGTACGTCGTTTGTTGAAACAGAAAAACGAAAAATGTAAGGTTTTTTGTAGTGCGTAAAACAATTTTATTCAAGCGATGCTTCCTTAACACGTGCTTGAGTCTCCCTGTTGCTCATTTCTATCTCAAATGCAAACTTCCTATCTTTTATACCTGTTCCGTATAAATCCGGCCGACCACAGAGCCCATTGCAAAATTTGGAGTGCTTGCGTTGCTACATTTCTCCCATACTGGAAAATTATCGTACAAAACAGCCGAACCACACAGCTGTCCATGTGGACTGGCGGTTCAGAGTGTTAAGCATTGCCCGAGGAGACCACCGTATGTCTCTTTCCCTCTCGGCGCCCACTGCGTCCTCCGTGTCGTCGCAGCGTCCTTTCTCCCGCCGGCCAGGCCAGGGGACTCTCCAGGGAGCGCGACCGTTTCCCGTTCCCGACCGTCACCTGCCAGACGGAAGATTGTGGGCCGGCCCTCTCACAGGCACCAACCACCGGCGAAAGTGATAGCCGTTAGTGCCTGGTCACTCTGGGGACGCATGTGTCACGCGTCTCTGAAGACCAGCCGCCATGCGTTGGCTGTTCGGTTGCTTTGCGTAAGCGCAACTCATTGGATCAATACAAGTATCAAAGCGTTTTTGCGACCAAAAATGTCCGGAACAGGCGACGAAACCTAGGAAAGCGCGACTTGCACAGCTCCTCGAGACTTTATTCAAATACCTTGAGGCTGAGATTTCGCCCAGTGGAAGGCATCGCGTGTTGACTGAGAGTGATGGCGATTTGTGGGCACGATATCGTGCTACCGCCCTGCGCGGCGTCGCAGCCGTCATCGGTGGCGTCTCTCCGGGCGTCGCAGTCTCCGCCGCCGCCCACGTGGTACGCCGCCGCTGCGGATCGCCACGCTCGCGGGTTCGTCACTATCGCCGGCTTTAGCGAGTGCCGGGTGTCGTCAGTTGTCAGGAGATCCGGCGCCTGGGGAGGGAAAGCTTCCGCTCGGTCGGCGCGGGCCGTGGCCCGACAAAGGCGAGGTGCGTGCCCACGAGCGCGCCTGCAAACAATGCCGCCATTGGGCGCGTCTCACAATCGTCTGAGAAAGAGGAAGGATTACACGCGGCACTTCCGGGTCAGCGTGCGGCGGTTTCTCCTCGCCAGAGTGGGTTCATGCGTCTAGAGCACGTTTGGCTGGTAGGTACCATTTCGGGTCAATCAACGTGCACATTTTTACTTAGACTTACATGCTCTTACACACTCTTGGGCACCGGGCAACATTTGCACGGAATTGAACATGCACCGCAAGAAAAACACAAGTACTTAACAGCTATTACGAACCAACTTATAATCTGAAGTTTAATTTGTTGTGTTCTAAGCGTGGGCCAGTTATGATATAATGTTGTAACAAATCTTTCAAGAACTCGTTACGCGTCCTCGCGCTGCTACACAACGTTCCCAAGTATTCAGCCTCTCCATGACTGGGTGTCGCACGGTCCGACATGCTCAGCTTTACCTCTGGTCATTACTGCACAGCCACACGTGTAATGCACTCGCTCACTCGTGACCGCATAAAACAGAACGGAGCGTTAATGCCTCAGCAGTATCATGTAACTATCGCGGTAGCCGCCCCGGTGTCAAGAATCACTTCATTTGTTGGCGTCAGCTCTAGCGTTCGGAAGTCGCGCTGTCAGCAACAGGAAAGAGGTAGGAAATTAAGATAATCAAGAAAACCTGTAACGTATACTTAAAACGTGTTAAGCAACAAAGCTTGGTTTCACGTTTGGAAGCCTACACACATAACGTCATTAAAACTTGGCGATGAAATAATGCCAGGATGTGTTGGCGTGAGCGGATTTTGCAATTCGTGCCAGGAATCCTGGCCATTGAAAAGGGATAGTGGGGTTGTTCCGCGTAGCGTAAGCTGCCAATACATCAGCTGAGTCATGCAGGTGCGTAGCTTATGGCGTGCAGCTACAGATCCGATTTGTGTCCGCCTCTTTTGATTGGTAAGATATGAGCGGTGCAGCCATGACACAATTTTCCAAAAATCTGCAAGAGCTTAGATATTTGCTACTTACATTCTGAAATTTCACCGTCTGTTTCAGTTCTCCTTTCAGGTTTACGCTCACTTAAATGTTCTGATGCCATGCATATTTGATTGGAATTTTCGATCCGCATGCCTGACTGCTGTGTAAATACGATAATTTGTTTATCAAATTGGTTCGCATGACATCAGTTGAACCACAAAAGTTTTACTTCAGCTCAAACCAGCTAATTTAAAACAATGCTATGAAAGGGGAATCTTACCCTGCTGAGGCAAAATCCACGTCAATCATTTCACCTGCTACATGAATATCTAACACTTTGACTGTCAGAAAGGGTGCTCTCGTTCGCAGAGGGCTAGGATTTTTTTAGTGTACTCTCGGTGTAGCTGATGAAAAACCACCCACACGGGACGTCATGGTCTTAAACAAAAAACAAAGCCCTTTAATGCTCGCCTTTGGTAAGTTGTATCGTGTTTCGGAAAATTCTTACAATTTTCCCGACATTCCTCACACGTGACATAGTAATTTATGAAGAACAGAGTAAAACTGCCTGTGCGGTTAGGCTCAAGACATAAGTGAACTGATTCAGCCACCTGATCATGCGCTGCAGACTCTGTGTAAACCAGGTCAATGCTACTGACACGCCAGGGCATCGCACTCCAAAATGAGTTGAACGGAATCGAAGGTGAAACTCTCAGCTATGCAAGGCTAGGGCGCCCGCGGCGCACCCGTTCCCACGTCGGCCTGCTTGGTGAATCAAGCCTCGCGAGCCAATTCCACAATCTGGGATACGGCGGCGCTGCCACGGCGTTTATCGCTCAGCGGATGCGGTCTCACCCAATTCCCCCAGCAGAAAACTGGCACAGCCAGCAGCAGATGCAAACGCGCCCGGCCGGGCAGCACTCCAACAGGGGCGTGAGTCAGCCCCGCATAAACAATCAGCTGGCTACTCTCCCACGCCATGGCTTCCATCTGTCGCCGGGTTTCACCGGGGGTGACCGGACCAGGAGCTACACCTGTCCTCACCGCCGGCCAGCGAGCGCGGTGAAACCGGAGCCGCGTCTTGATTTGCGTCCGCCGCCGCCCGCCCGCCATAAACAGGGCAGGACCGCGCGCTCCCCGGGTCACGAGTCACGTGACCTCTTCACCCGACAGCGGCCAATTCGTGAAGGAGTACGCGGAGGGGAGATATGGATCGGCGGGAGAAAGTGATACGCTTGTTATGCCGGGACAGCGGAATCGGATCCGTTGACCATCTGCCTTTAAGGTTTGATGTTTGTTTTACTCTCCCATGGAGAGCAAGTGTTTAAGAAATCACTTATCACCAACCGCCTACTTGGCTACCTTCCAACATGAGTACAGCCACGCTAGCAGATGTGGTAGTCGGCGCCCTGCAATGGTCTGGTGGCCGGAATCTTGCTTCCTAAGGTGCGGATTTTATGGAACAGTGCTTCTGATGGATTTTGGTACCGCTTCATTTGCGGGATCTTTAGAGCCGAGCTGATTAGATTCCTTTCTAAATTTAACATGTGGTGGATGGATTAAATGTGTCGTAATTGAGTGAGGGGAGGTGTCTGTTGTCACCTATACAACAGATGGCATCATTTCTCTCAGATGATACGGATGCGTTCACAAAGCATGCACGGCTAACTTGGGGCGACTACACATGCAACTATTTGTCATGGAAAGATGAAAACTGCTGGGGTAAAAAGGATGGTGGCAAATGACGCAACCGAATATTCCGGCGAGAGAAGAAAAACATGCATTAAATGAAATGCACACATGTTGAACTCACATACACACACATACTCATGCTGTATTTCTATCTGAGCCAATGTTTATTAGTCACATTCGTGAATTCACATCAGGCACCTGCTGAAGATTGCCAGAAGCTTCGTATCTCGTCACCGGAGATTGTTCTTGGTCATTTTCTCCCAATCATGGCCTGCGGCTCCTGCGCTTTCCGACAAGTTTCTCCAGAACCCGAGCACCCCGGTAATTTTCATTGAGCAATCGACCCCAGCGCCATACACAATCTGCAGTTGAAGACGTCCCACTGTTTCAGGCGGCGAGATAGCTCGCGAAGCTGCTCAGGATGACGCCCGCACTGAGGTCAGCGCTTGTACTGGCGCTCGCTCTCTGCGCCTCTGGACAGGAGGTAGAAGGTGAGTCCTAGAACATGGGGAGCGTGGCCTTGCCTGGTGAAAGTAGCGCAGGCTTTCATTAACTCGGTGAAAAAACCTCGCGGCAACAGGAAAACCAGTCCGCTTGTAATTAATAAGTCAATAGTACGACAATAAAGAAACTGCTTATTTTATTTCACAACTATGTTAAAAATGAAAGGCACGTTACAGCGACGTTGGAAAATAATTCTGGTGTACACAAGCATTCATCAACACTTCTCGTCCGAACTGAAGCAGCGACTGTTCCCGAGCCACGCATGCGTTTAACGAATTGTATCATTCATCGGTAAGCTACAATGCGCCAACCTCTCAGTTACGGATTTAAGATTTAGGATGGAGGTCGATACACATATAGAGCACATGCACAACACTCGGTGCGCGCAGCATAAGGAATGCAGATTGAAATGATAAAGTGCGAGATAACTTGCATGGAATGCTGTGATTACCAGTAATAGTTATTTATTTGATGTTTGGGTAAAATCAAACTTCGTCAGATCGATCGAGTTTGTCCTTCACTTTGATGATATTTGGTGCAGATAGAGCAATCCGTGAAAGACTGTCACGCAACGTTTTGTAGCCCTAGGTGACCTCTGGAGTCGGGGCCAGAGATTATTTCGTGCCCTCATTTTCTCCGATCCAACAGTTTGGATTCTCCGTAAGCTTGTACAGAGCTAACTTGCTCAGAAGAAATTCCATTGTTGTACACATCTCATGCATTTTTAAAGTGTGTAAGGATTGTCTTATGTAATGCTGATCTAACCTTTGACCTGATGAGGGATGCTGCACATTTTTAGTCTCAGTTACTTTTTACAGGCCTGATATCGCTTTGATTTCCACACCAATTGTCTGGGCAAAATGAAAACTTAGTTACGTGCTGGGCATTGTAACTGCTGATATTTGCCTTATTTATTTTTCCCTCTGGAAATTTACAAATTTGACCTTCCGGTTTCCATACCACGTCAAATAGAAGCATAATTTAAATTCCGTAAGGAAGTCTCGGGGGGCTTACAACATTCCTCGCACCAAAAATAATCATATTTCAGATGAATGGATCGGTGGATCCGCTAGATTAGGCTTGGTGTAGTCGAGTTCAGTCGCATTTGATACAAACGTTTTGTTGTCTATCTACAAGAAATCTCTATATGTAAGTTCACCCAAATTACGATTATATAAAGGTGAACGGTAAAGATCATTGCAGGTCATAGTTACTCTGGTCCTGAATAATGCTCACCTTAAGAAAGGAGTGAGGTGGGTTCATAATATTTTCGAGTTGTTTACGTGGCCGTTAAAACATTCGCTTTTTTTTGTTTGTTTCCTTTTTATTCCTTGAGTGGGATGATTTTCAAAGCCTTGTACGACAAGCTTGAGCGCATTGATGACGTATTGTCACGCAAGCGTTGCGTGAATGTGCTTTTGTTGATGTATCATCTTGCCAGCCGCTTCAGTTGCCTGGCGCACTCTATCTCCGATGCGCCTTATTAAAACTAAAAGAAGTCGGAGTCGAAACTCGTTATGCCAGCTATCTGATGCAAGTTTTCATGTGGAGTCACTGAACTCAACTCAACAGCACATCTGAAGTGTGGAAAGAAGAATGCCGTTGGGTGCAAACCTATCGTCCCTGGATTTCCAAGGTCAATAATCAACTTAACGTAATTCAATCCATAAAGCGATATCATAGACATAAACACTACCACACTGTAAAGCCATCAGTGCTGCCACGAACATTTTGTCAGTTGGGGATGTTATGAACGAATGATGGCTCCTTTAGCTCCCACGTAGATGGGAGGGGGCAATCCTTGTTGCGCCATTGGCCCCGAGCGCCAACACGGCCTCTGTAGCCACTGGTGCTCCATGACCGGGCACGCGAAGGCGTTCGTGACGGCACATTTATCAGCTGAAAAATAATTGTCAGTTTGCCGGCAGATGTTGTGCACTCTAGCTCTCATCACATTTGTCCTGTGCTTCTAAAACTGCGTTCCAAAATAATTTCATTGAGAACACCATGGTGAACGATGGCCGACGGACGGCTTATCTCTGTTTCGCGTGGTACCCACTACTACGCAACGCTCCAACGTCGTTCTCCGGAAGACGTTCTCAAATGTTCCCACTGTGGAGCATCCGCTAACTTTTTTACACGTAACGCATGGTTGAGGCCAGCTCTTCAGACTCATAAGTTAGGGACATGTAACCTCAAGTATGACGCGCTCTGACAAAGCCTGGGACAAGCAACCAACCCATTCCAGCATGATAGTACTAGACAATGTATTTCCCTCCCACGCTGGCACGTCCTCCCTGCGCCGACGTGAGCACCCGACATTCCACCAGAGCCCGGACCGCATGCTGACCCGGCATGCAAGCCCAGCTGGTCCCGCCTGACTGACCTTGCGGTCTGCCGGGTCAACCATCCGGCGCGGAGGGCTGCGATCTCACGCTGGCGGTCCGGGTGGCGGCGGGCGCGCCAGCTTTGCGCCGCGTCACCGCCGCGCCGCCGCGCCGCGCCGCCGCGCCGCGCCGCCGCGCACCCGGCACCAGGTGCCGTGGCTTTATCCGCCGCTGGTATGTTGATTGGAGCCCGGACGGAGGCTATTGATGCACGTGCCGGCGGCCGTGGCCCGTGACCCCCGGGGCGTGCTCGGCGCCGGAAGGCCGCCCCGTGCCTACAGTTGACCTCTCTCGGCGCCGCCCACGTCGCACGCGACGGCCCCGGGCGGGGTGCGTAGCTTCAGCCGGTGCCGTCGGGCAGCGCCGGGTGGCAGAGGCTGGCACGAGGCGCAGGGTCACAGCCAAGGGGGGGGGGGGCGCTGCAACGAACTGGTCACGGCTCAGACACGGCCTGGATGCGTGGTTAAGAATTAATAGGAAAGTCAGATGGAGCTGGGAATCCGCGATTTAAACAAATCGAATATTAGGCCCGTGGAGTGAACTACATATTCTGGACCAAAAGTGATCAGAGAATCGCTATTCCCCGCCCACAGGCCCCACGCAGAGGTCTTGAGCGACACCGGAACGTATCGGGTGCTGGTGTCAGACTGTCTACTGTCAGGATGTGGCGATTACGACTGTCATTCCAACGGAATGTCTTTAGGAGAACGTTCCATGTATCCAAAACTTTCCGTGTTTCGTTGACAGACAGTCAGAGTCAACCGTCTCGATCCAGCCCGCAGCGTTGACCATTCGGAAGTTACTGAAGTGCCAGGTGTTCTGCGGCACGGAACTGACGGACCTACCATACGTGTCCCGACGGTCTTGAATCGCTGTCATTGTGAGCCATGTGGAACCCACCGTCATGGCTCTGATTAGATCCGTGCATAATTGGATCAGGAAAACCGTGTTCCATCACGCCACGTGCCTTCCCAAATATACCGTGATGGCGGATACATACTCGCTCCGGCCTCGAGCAGTGAAAGAAGTCGCAACTTTACTTGCTCGTTTTGTATTTTCAGTCTGGTCATGCAACTGTAGCGTGCTGCTGTTGATGCCGCTGAATAAACAGTTCTTGGAATAACTTAAAGGGCCGCTGAGGACTTCTAGCAAAACAAGTAGCGATTTTCCAGTTTATTCATTCAATATAAATTGGCTGATTTTATGAGCCTGTAGAATGTCTGAATCGTATTCCGTGAATGCAATGTGGACCAATAATAATGCTACAAATAGAAGAGTTCTGTTTTGGCACTCAGATTGCATGCGATTTGAGCATTTGCGCCTGTCTTGGTGCACAAGTGGATTTTTGGACGATCATTGCTGGACGCCTCTGGAATATACAGCGTGCTGTTTTTGTGAGCGAGGCGGGTCCGACCTCAGGTAAACACGCGGATTATCTGGGGCGCTATGCGAAAGCGCACAAACAGTGTACCACCGGGTGTGCTCTCCGCCGGTGTAGCACGCTCGGAATGTGTTTGCGCTCTCGTGGTGGCGCAGCGTCCAAACACGACGCTGCGCCGCACCTGCTTGTCAGCTCAAAGCCCCGACGATCGCATGTGATGTATTACTTGGCTCACTTCACCCCTAGCCGTGCCCGCATTGAGTCCGTTTTACCACTCTGATTTGAAGGAAGATAGCATTTTGGTAGCAGCACGGTTGATGTTCTCTGTAAATCACGAGCGAAAACCCGCTTTGTTAATGTTTATTAGGTTATGCAAAGATTGTGATCCGTTGCTCAACACTATTTTTGATATGAGATTTATGAGTGGTCTCGTTCAGCTTCCATTGGACCACACGAAATGCTGAGATAAATATTGCAGCTTGTAACCTGGCCAACGGAGCTTTCAGTAATTAACAGCCACTCAAACATAGGTAAATACTTTTGATAGCCGATGCTATCATCTTCGCTGTTACCGCGGTACCCTGTCTGAAATAACGAATCAAACCAATAGTACGCTGCTTTTCACTAATTAAGATATTGCACACGCTATTTAACACGTCACTGATTGGTGCTTGATCCAGTGAGAAGATCGTATCAAAATTGTCCCGCTAATCGGCTCGTACGTGTGTGGTAACACGAAGGAGAGTGACGTCGGTGCCACTCTAGATCGGAAGTGATATCTCTCCCGCGTGTCGGATAGGAGCGATATACCGACGTAGCACGGGGCAGTATAACAGCGCGAGTCGTGACAGCCACCCGCCTGATGGCGACAGAAGCGGTTATGCACATGTTAGTTACGGAGCGGACCGTTTCTTTTTGATTTAGTAGGCATAACGGATCGGGCGCTTGTGTAACATCACGTTTCATGAGATAACCAGGCTCCAACCGCACACCGTGCAGTGACAGTGTAGTAAGGGCGACACGGCGTGGAGCCAAGTGGCAGAGTGCCGCGCGCTGTCTTGCAGCCGCCATTCGGACTCGGGGTCGTGTAGCGAAAACCGCGGAATGAATTTTAATCGGTGAAGTGTAGGCGCTTTTGGGGAGGTGATAGAAGTTGTGCTGTATAAATTACACACATATTTCGAGAAAACAACGTGTTAAAAAAGATGTTTTTTGTGTT